ATGAGCATGATGGGAGAACTAACCTTCTTTTTAGGTCTTCAGATCAAACAAACTGATAAAGGAATCTTTATCAACCAGAGTAAGTATGTTCGCGACATGCTAAAGAAATTTGATCTAACCAACAGCTCTTCTATGAGAACTCCTATGGCTCCTCCTCTTACTCTTAACAAGGATCCAAATGGAAAACCTGTAAATACAACTATATACAGAGGAATGATCAGCTCTTTGCTCTATCTCACAGCTAGACGACCCGATATCATGTGCTCCACTTGTCTATGTGCACGATATCAAGCTGAACCAAAGAAATCCCATCTGATTGCTGCCAAACGCATCTTCAGATATCTTAAAGGAACTCCTAATATGGGTCTTTGGTACCCTAAAGGTTCAGGTTTTGACCTTATTGGTTATTCGGATAGTGATTTTGCAGGTTGCAAAATTGATAGGAAAACCACCACTAGAGGCTGTCAGCTTCTAGGTGGCAAGTTGGTGAGCTGGACAAGCAAGAAGCAAAATTCAGTGTCCACATCAACTGCTGAAGCTGAATATCAGCTGCTGGACTACGATCTTCAGTTTTCCAAAATTCCTATTTATTGTGATAGCACTAGTGCCATTGCAATTGCAAACAACCCTGTTATTCACTCCAAGACCAAACATATTGAGATCCGATATCATTTTATCAGAGATCATGTTATCAATGGTGATATTGAACTTCACTTCGTTCCCATTGAGTATCAACTTGCTGACCTTTTCACCAAGCCTCTTGATGAGACAAGATTTAGCATCTTGATCAGCGAATTGGTATGTTGAACACTGAAGATTAACCTTCAGTTCTTCCAACATCACTCAGCAAGTGAAATGATTCAGTGCTCTTTTTCTAACACTAAACTTGTGAGTAAATGTATCTTCTCTCAGGTATGCTTACTCTTCTCTTTTCTAAAAACTTAAAACCATCACTGACTACTTTCTCACTCAGTGATAAAATGTTTTAAAAGGTGATGAATGTTTCTCTTCCCTCATCACATCCTTCTTAAATTTCTAAAACGATCACTGATATTTCTCTTCAGTGACCAAAACGTTTTTTAAATGTCAGTTTCAGTGATTCTCTTTACTGACAACCTGATGTCTTAAAACCTTCACTGAATACTTTCTTGTTTTCAGTGCAACTTTGTTTTAAATGAAGTCTCTCAGTACTTTTTAAAACTGAATGACTCTTCATATTCTTAAAAACCCTTTTTGTTTTTAAAAGAAAATAGTTAATGCGTCCTTTTTATGATGACATTCTCTGTTTCCTATGTCAGACGCTTTGAGACGCACAAAATGAACCGTCATTATGACACCTCATTAAATGTCATCCAGTCATGGATGAGAACGTGGCCCATTACTCATTATGGCCACTTTTTTGAACCATCACCTCTACTCTCTCTCATATTTTTCTCTCTCCTCTTACCTATAAATATGAGATTTCTTCTTCATTTTCTCTTTACACTTTCAAAATATTTTAGTCAAACCTCTGCTAAAATATATACAAAGCAAGAACTCTCTTCAAACCCTCGTTTTTCGACCTTTCTTCTTCAATCTCAAAGGTCATAAACTATTTCTTTTCTTTATCTTTGTTACAAAATCGGTTTAAACTTGTTAAGACTCTTGTTCTCTTAATACTTTGAACTAAAGGTTATTAATCA